TACTTTTACATTTACGAATATTAATAATATTTTAATTAAGCCTAATACTATTAATGCTTAACGTTTAATACGTTTACGTTTCTTACATGTCATTAAGGGGAGATATATACCTAGGAGCCGGAAAAAAGGTCATCTTTGTGAATTTTTTTAAGGAAAACTATTTGAAATTTCGGATTGGGAGTTTTTGTATCTAAAAGTATACACATTCAGGAATATGTTCAATTTTTTTTATTAAAAAAAATCGAATTGACGATGTTGTATAATCTTCGGAGCGCCGTAAAAAAATCCGGGTAAACGGTACCCACTGGCGTTTCTTCAAAAATCATCTGAAACAAAAAAAACCAAACAGATTATTAAATTAGATACTATAATCTAGTTGTCATAGCTGATTTTGAAAATACCGATTTATGACAAAATGGCGGACGTTTGAACATAACATAGTGATTTTTCGGCCAAAAATTAGTTATTATTTTGCCTATAAAACAAAAACTAAACAACGAAAAAAAAATCCTATTACAAGTACTAGATAATGATGTATAGAACAACCACAAAAAATTCAAGGCAATCGGTTCATTGGTTTTCGAGAAATTTTGGGTACCGATTTGAAAAACGTGATTTCGAGAAAAACGCGTTTGAAAATTTGGGAATGAATAAATGAAATTTGTCAACTTACATGGAATCATCGATACCTAGGGTTGCCAACCGTCCGGTTTTGACCCAGACTGTCAGGTTTTCAGGAGTCTTGTCCGGTGTCCGGTTGACAAGTCAAACCGGACGTCATATATCCGATTTGTAAGTACATCCAAATAATAAAATCAAATTTAGAGCGCCATAAGAAGTTATGTAACAGACCGCCCAATTTTCGTGGCGCTCCGCTACGACTACGTTCAAAAAGTGCACTCAAGTGCACCTAGGTATCAGCTTGCTTTTGATATACACATGTGTAAAGGTTAGATTAGGATATCAACTAGAATCTTTAACATTAGCATTGTTTGAAATCTCCCAAAATTTCTAAACGAAGTAAATATATATACATATTCGGATATTGTAGAGAGAGAAAGCAAAGGTGCTAGCTCTGAAGAAAATGACTTACATGCTTACATCATAATCACACTAGCGATTGAGATTGAGATTGGATTTTAACCAATCAGAAGAAAAAGAAACTAATTAATCAAGTTTAGTATATTTTTGCTTTAATTGGTCAAATCCCGATCAATCTCAATCTCTAATGTGATTACTTTTGCTTTCTGGTTCATAAAAGTCATGTGTTCTTTCATGTAAGTAATTATTAAATAATTTGTTACAGGAACAATTATTAAACAATTTATTTAAATTTATTAAAAATAAATCAGCTAACTCCAAAGAAAAAATCAAAACGTTTCTGCTCTTTTAATGATAATTGGCTGAAGGATGAAAATTTCAAATCATGGCTTACAAAATATAACGAAGAATATGCAAAATGCATAATATGTAACATAAGTTTTACTGTAAAACATGATGGGATTAATGCGGTTAAACAACATTTAAATTCATTAAGACACAAAAATATGGACAATCAACAGAAACAAAACCAATTACTTCATAACTTTTTTGAAAGTAAAAATACACCGGAAAATGAAGCTCTTAGTTTATGTGAACTTTCTTTTACATATCATTCAATCAAACATCACCATAGTTATAATAGTGCAGGTTGTTTCACTAAAAATGCCAAAACATTTTTTTCAGATTCTAAATTAGCACAAAAATTAAGGTGTGGTAGAACAAAAATGGAAGCAATAGTTAAAAATGTTTTGGCTAAAGCAAGTTTACAAGATGTTTTACATGATCTAAAGAATAATTCTGTTTCTCAAATTAAATCAATTAATGAACCTAGTACTTCAGTTGCATCTTCCACAGATACTTTTGATTCCATACCTTATTCGTAGTAAGTGGGCAGCTATGGGCCG